TGATGATTTACGTTCCAGTGAAAAATAATGCTGATATTTACACTTTTGACACAAAAATAACACAAGTTAAATTATATTATTTGCAATTAAAATGGGTTGGGTCGTTATAAAAATTATTCAGCTTTCTATTGCTGCTAATTTAAAAAAGATCAGTCAAATATTTTTTGAGGTGGTTCACAAATATGTGGGTTTTTTTTATCCCGCATTTTTGTTTACGGTTTTTAACAACACGTGTCCTTCGTTACCAGACGAGTAATTTCATCTGTGACATCGCTATAGTTCCAAGTAATGCAAATCAAATCAGGCCTACTTAACATAGAAATTACTCAGCTGTTTATTGATATTAATTGTTTTAAAAAATATAAACGATAGTTTATAAAATTTAATCCAAACAGTGAGCAGTCACCAACTACTTTCGCAATGATGATTTACGTTCCAGTGAAAAATAATGCTGATATTTACTCTTTTTGACACAAAAATAACACAAGTTAAATTATATTATTTGCAATTAAAATAGGTTGGGTCATTATAAAAAAAAATGTCTGTCGACGCCCACCACAATACTCTGAACCATGCGTTACGTCGCGTTTAAAAATAGAAAAATATACCCCAAAAACGAGACATCAATTAATATGATACCACAGATTTTATCAATTATAAGTAATACAATCAGCTTATAACAATGGGATAAACAAAAGTCGTAAGAACACTTATCGCGATTGGTTTGTTTTCACGCCAACTTCTGTAATCTAACGAAGCGGTATCGACGCCATCTTGGTTTGTCAAAATTGAGATAGGTGGCGCTCGCTATCTGCTCCTGAATCAGGGGGAGGTAAGTCTAGATTGACGTGTCATAAAATTGGTAAGGCAAAGAGGGAGTTGCTAATCCCCTTCACTATACGTCCCTGACTAGTGTGATAATCTTTGTATTCCAGCCACATCTTTCACTTACACTGTAACAAGCGCTCGGGCGCTTGGAAAAAACCACTTTATCTTCATCATATTTATTTGATGTTTTCTCCTGGATACCTTTCACGACTTTTCTACAGAACTAGAAACTGTATATGATGTATGTAGTTTCAGCCCAATATAAATCTTATTTATCAGGAAGGGTGGGAAAATTGGCAGCTATTATGACACTTGCGATTATTTTCCCTTCTTCCTGGGTAATCTCGATCTGTTTGAGTTGGGACATATGTTAGTTTTTGGATGATGAATGAAATGCTGCGGTGTTTTTGTATGAAGAGTTCAGGGAATGACAACATGCATGGCTTCCATATAAATGTGTAAAGCTCTATTACCTCCCGTCTTTGACCGATATCCCCAGTATCAACGTAAATACCAGTCTTTCGTACAAATGTCTTCTGTTTCGAATATGTCAAATGGGTTGGGTATTGCAAACATCACATGCAATGAAATTTGCTGCTCAATATCCTTTCAACGTTAAACGGGCTTTAAAAGTGTGTTTACATGTGTATATACAGAAATGCATAGCTTTAGAATATCACGGAATGGGACACAATTTGTTTTTGATGCTGTCAAAACATGTTTATGCACTTTTGAAAATTTCACTCAACATTTACAAACAGTTTCTTCAAATGGGGTTTGAAAGGCAGGGGAGATCATTACGATTGTTGTGAATAAAAAATCAAATACATTAACCCCTTTCACCGCTATGTAACTTTAATAAACTCTACCGTTAAATGATCTGGATGAGTTCATTATGGTCTATAGTGTTGACTTGAACTTAGTTTTAAAAAAAACCTTTTTCAAATTTTCAATCAATGTTTTAATTGTGGTATTTGTATCGACATGTGTATATCAGAAGTTAAACCGGACTCATCATATCAACTGTTAGCCTATGATTGATATAGGTATATTGTAGGTAGTTTTCTCAATGAACGCTGCAGCTTTGTACACATAATGGTTTATAGTGTTGAGACAGTTGTGTTTACAATGTATCTGCATTAACGATGTACACACGTCAATAACAGTAATTATGTGTGACATTAAGACGAATTACCGTATCACCGACATTTATCAGATTTCCTGTCAGAGGTCAAGGTGAAGATCTTCTGCAGTTTATTTCCCGATAATTAAGGCCAAATAATTCATTTGTGATACATTTTTGATGTTTTAGTATACAAACAAACAATATGTTACCATGGAGAGTTAACCCAATCACCTCTGAGGACACATTTGAACTCTTCTTCAATATGAAATTTCAGGGGTGAAAGGGTTAAATGTGTTGTCGTAATACGTTACAACAACACATCAGTGTGTGGTTGCAATATTTAGAAATTTTGATTGATTATTCTTAATTTAATTGATATACGAAATTTGATTCCTATCGAGATGAGGACTTATCATTGAAGAGGGCACTGAATTGACCCATTCACCACGCCTAAAGTCACATTTGAACCTTACCAAATCAAAGACTGGGCAAGTCCAATTAAGTTATGTAGGGGTAAATGAGTTAATTGCTTTGTACTAGAAATTAAATACTTGTGTGTCCTTGTGAAGGTTTCCCAAGTGTCCGATGTGTTTTGACAGTAAACAGTGTCATCCTTTATGAGATGGAATTTGAGGAATGTTGCTCCTGTTAGTATGGTGTCTTTATAATTGTTGGTCATATATGTAGATAAGGATTTGAGTGCGCGGAGTTGCTCCGATATTATGTACGTAGGTGTTTTCAGCAAGGCTGATTTTTTGACACCTGAAGTCTAGCCGTGAATATGGTTTAATTCCTATCCGTAGATCGGCCATTTTAATAAGGATGTGATTGTGAAGAAATAAAAAAGTGTCCAACATCAAAGGAAATAGATTTCACAGGATATTTCCCCCGAAATTGAAAGCCCCAGTGAACACAGCGAAATATGGGTGGATCTACATTAAGAGATGTCAATTCTGACATTTTTCTGGGCCCCTTGTACGCATACCTAAAGTAACTGGCCGTATACGTTTTGTCTGGCTACACAAGCCAGTCCAACACAACAGGTATCGTTGTATAGTTAACGCTGTGGAAAGTTAGATGAGGTCACAATTGTGATGATGCAAGCGAAATCAGAACAAATTCATGTCGGAGGTATTAGACGGAATCAAATAATGAATGAGTGGAGGTCTCGTAGGTCACGGGACATTGCGACTCAGGTCTTTTACAAATATAGTCATCAAGGCATTTATTTCATAAATCCAGTCATTTTCACTTTCCACCCTGTATAGCGCATACAACCTTTTTTGTCAATTTACAAGTTAATTGTAAAATTGCCCCGCACACTTGACAGATGCAGTATTGTGCAGTATTGTGTTGTGTCTGGCATCACAAGGGAAAACCTGTGAACCTGCTCAGTTTTATTACCGATAACCTACAGGTAATTCCCATAAAAACAGCCATTTCGCCTTTTTAAGATTTCTGATATATAAACCTTCAAATTGCTTAAAAAAAAAATCATTATTTATTTTTGGATAAATTGAATGTAACATTTCAATGAAATACTTACAACTACATTACAAATCAAATAAAGAAAATGAAAGGTTTTCCCCTTTTGAAAAAAAATATACATATAGTGATAAATGTTTAGTATTCATCTGTGCTTGCTAATGAATAGTTGTCATGGAAACTTATTTGGGGTGTTACGTGATTTACCTGTGACCTGTGCTGATAAATTACAGGTAAAGCCCGTTTCTTACCTCAGCACTAACATGTTACCTGTAGAATTCATACCTAAATAAGAACCACACACGCTTAAGATTATGATTGATCTATTTGACTTCTGATTTATTTTTAGTCTTAATTCAATAAGTTCTTTAGACCACCTGTACGAGATTTTCACATGTACAGCAAGTTAAAAATGTCAGTATTGAATAACAAGTAAGGAGCGGAAAACGTGATTATGAATGTATTTAGTTTCGACCTCCTTGACACATTTCAATGCAATCTGAATAATTTCTTACTTGAAAAGAGTTATAACCAAACTGTATTCCGTTCCTGGTCAACTTTTCCTGTTTCAGGTTAACACCCAGAAATCATATTTAAAATTTTCTGTTTATTTTCCCCATTCTGTAAAAAAAAAAAAATCTGATTATCAACTGTCAGGTTTATAGATTAAATGGTATTTAAGTATTAAGGAAATGATAAAATGTTTGGACACATTTAAAGTAGAATGTTTAATGCTAACAGGTCAAATCAAGATCAAACCATATATATGCAAGTTCTCACTAAACCAGTATATAAAACTAACACGAAGCATTGACATCAAAAATACTGTTATTATGTTCAGTATTCTAAAGTAAAAAATACATGAAAGGAGGCATTTAAATAATCAATGAAGTCTCACTACAACATTATAAGATTTCAGATATAAAAGAAAGAAAAAAAGAATAGAAATATAATGAAATTTTAAATGGAGGGAAATGTGCCATGTCACTGAAAGTGGCCAAATATCTGCCATATAAAGGGCATCTGTCTCTGTCTCACCCACAGTCCCCGGAGGCCACCAGCACGGTCCCCGGAGGCCACTATCATGGTCCCTGGAGGCCACCAGCAGGCAAATTACTGATGGCACATTTGGGTGCGTTCCTTCAAATAAATTATGTAGGCCAATTGAAGGATTTATAGCAAATGTTGTGCCAAGTGAGGGTTAGGTTACAAGTCTCATCACCTCCCACATCAAAGTAGCTAAAGTACAGGGGAGGGGTTTGTACAGAGGAGGGGTTTGTACAGGGGAGGGGTTTGTACAGGGGAGGGGTTTGTACAGGGAAGGGGTTTGTACAGAGGAGGGGTTTGTACAGGGGAGGGGTTTGCCTAAGTTTCAGGTTTTATATCAATTCTTGTTTAGAAATGTGACTTTTGACATTTTATGCAGAATGAATTGACCTATACAATGTGTAAGATTGGTTGACGTTGGTTTTTTTTGTGGAAACCTGTGATCTTTGAAATGATAGCCTGCCCTTTTACCTCTTTGTGCAATGATTGACCTTTGACCTATTGTGTGTTACAGAGGCGATGAAACAGCTTGCCACACGTCTTGAAGGTCCCTTCAACATCGAATCAGTGGTGGATCCGATCGATGTACAGATCTCGAACGCCATCATGACCCTTCACGACAACGGGGAAGAAATCAGTGACCAGGTAACCTGTCTAAACCATCCAATATTTCTCATCAGAAAGATCTGTCCTGAGAATCTGTCTTACTTATTTATACCTGGTTATGTCAAGCTGTCTCCAGTACTGTACAAGTTATCATTGACAGTCCTTATATAGGTCGTCCTCATCAGATCTGAGCTGGTAATGGTATCTGCTACAGGTCAACACTTGGTATAGTCACCTGTCAACAGGCCCTGCTGCTGGAGGCAAGCCCAGCATTATAGAAGCTGAGTCCATTCTTCCTTAGTCCTTATCAGAACGCCATGGTGATGATGTAGTGTTGTCTGGTTGCCATAGTCACAGTGCTTGATGACAGAGAAAGTCAGAGAAAGTTGGTCTCTTGCTATCTACACTCAAGGGGCCAATTACCACTTCATGTACACCTTTCACCTGTGTTGTTAGAGCGGGCCAGGAATCTGGACAGTAGGGGTGGGGAGATATCTGGGCACCCATTGATAACCATTTCCTCTGACAGATAAGGTCTGCTTATTGGTGTGAATGTCCTCAGCTTCTGTGAACACTGGTGTACAAACAGAGTCTGTATCTTGTCACAGACACTGTTGGAAGTGATGCTTGTACGGTGAGTTCAGACACCTGGGCAAATCTTACAGCTAGGTGTCACTGTATTGATTTCTATGTAAATCAAATATTGGTTATTATTATAACCGAAACATAGAATTTGCTGTAAAGAGCTCTAGCCTAGTTTAGCTTCATCCTATATTTCTGTTTGAAAACAAGGTATAATCTTTACAAGAGAACTGATGTTGGTACATGTATTGAGAATTTTATAACTCTCCCCTCCCCCAAATAATGATACGACCAATGCCAATGGCCAATTTCTGCCAGAAAATGAAATATAATCTTTACAAGAAAACTGATGTTGGTATTGATAATTCTGTAGCTTTCTACTCTCCTCAAGCCCCGCCCTCATTCCCCCGCCCTAATGATATGACCAATGCCAATGGCCAATTTCTACCAGATCACATATGACTGATATTTAACACATTTACCCCTGAAGACACATTTGAACTCTTCCCATTCAATGTTTGGAATAGTTCATTATGAAATTTCAGGGGTGAATGAGTTAAGTAGATCTGGATGGCAATGATACTGCATAGTGGATCTAATCTATTATAAAATAGGCTTAAATTAGGTCGTGTATATCTATAAATAAACAAACAGATCATCAATCTTGATAACAATTCCTGTTCTGTTTCTGTACCAATATACCCAGATAATGTGGAAATATTTATAATGATGGATGAATACTGGGAAAAAAAGACTGTAACAAGCTTTTACTTGATATACAGAGGTTGAAACTCCGGCAGATTTATTGAAACTGTTTGATTCGGTTTATCAACATTGATGAAACATCTTGTAGAGGCCGATCAGTATTGATTGAAAGTCATCTGTTTGAATTGATGCGTTTCCAAGGGAACCGGTATCTGTACTACAATCCCCGGAGTTAAGATTAATGTACATGTTCGTTCTAATTTTCTTATTGTTGGAATTTAGTTCAAACATATTTGTATCGATGGATATATTTAGACAGGTTATTACATTATCTCCCACTCTCTCCATTGACTTCCAATAAAGGACTCGGGTGTTGACAGAGGGCATTGCACCTGATGTCTTTAGACCAACATTTCATTTTGTGTTGATAAACTGTAATCTGTCGGTAAGCACAGTCAGTGGAAGGTGATTTCGGGATAACCATTCCAAACATGTAAGGGAGTCTGACTATCAGGGCAAATGTTTTATTGTGGGTACAACCCTTATTGGACTTTGACCTGTGTAATATCCGTATTTAACATTTCATAGTTGACCTTTGACCTTTGAATATTCAAAATTTATTTTCATACACAAAAGAAGAAATTGTTTCGGGCATCAGCCTCTTTCTGCGGTGTTTAGCCAGACATGGTACCTCCGAGCCGAGGGCCTCTAGCCAGGGTCTGTATCTAGGGGGGATCAGGGGAAGGCAACATTACAGAGCTAATTTGAAGGATCAATGATAATCACTTTCATTAGTGACCCAGATAATGTTGAACATCTTATTGTGGTCTTTGTATAGACACTTTCTTATTGGGTTCTTTATATAGACACTTTCTTATTGGGTTCTTTGTATAGACACTGTCTTATTGGGTTCTTTGTATAGACACTGTCTTATTGGGTTCTTTGTATAGACACTGTCTTATTGGGTTCTTTGTATAGACACTGTCTTATTGGGTTCTTTGTATAGACACTGTCTTATTGGGTTCTTTGTATAGACACTGTCTTATTGGGTTCTTTGTATAGACACTGTCTTATTGGGTTCTTTGTATAGACACTGTCTTATTGGGTTCTTTGTATAGTCACTGTCTTATTGGGTTCTTTGTATAGACACTTTCTTATTGGGTTCTTTGTATAGACACGGTCTTATTGGCTTCTTTGTATAGACACTTTCTTATTGGGTTCTTTATATAGACACTGTCTTATTGGGTTCTTTGTATAGACGCTGTCTTATTGGGTTCTTTGTATAGTCACTGTCTTATTGGGTTCTTTGTATAGACGCTGTCTTATTGGGTTCTTTGTATAGTCACTGTCTTATTGGGTTCTTTGTATAGACACTTTCTTATTGGGTCCTTTGTATAGACAGTTTCTTATTGGGTTCTTTGTATAGACACTGTCTTATTGGGATCTTTATATAGACACTTTCTTATTGGGTTCTTTGTAAAGACACTTATTTATTGTGTTCTTTGTATAGACAGTTTCTTATTGGGTTCTTTGTATAGACACTTTCGTATTCGGTTCTTTGTATAGACACTTTCTTATTGGGTTCTTTGTATGGACACTTTCTTATTGGGTTCTTTGTATAGTCACTGTCTTATTGGGTTCTTTGTATAGACACTTTCTTATTGTGTTCTTTGTAAATACACTTTCTTATTGGGTTCTTTGTATAGACACGGTCTTATTGGCTTCTTTGTATAGACACTTTCTTATTGGGTTCTTTGTATAGACACTGTCTTATTGGGTTCTTTATATAGACACTTTCTTATTGTGTTCTTTGTAAAGACACTTTCTTATTGGGTTCTTTGTATAGACACTGTCTTATTGGGTTCTTTGTATAGACACTGTCTTATTGGGTTCTTTATATAGACACTTTCTTATTGGGTTCTTTGTATAGACACTTTCTTATTGGGTTCTTTGTATAGACAGTTTCTTATTGGGTTCTTTGTATAGACACTTATTTATTGGGTTCTTTGCAAAGACAGTTTATTATTGGGTTCTTTGTAAAGACACTGTCTTATTGGGTTCTTTATATAGACACTTTCTTATTGGGTTCTTTGTATAGACACTTTCTTATTGGGTTCTTTGTATAGACACTTTCTTATTGGGTTCTTTGTATAGACACTTTCTTATTGGGTTCTTTGTATAGACACTTTCTTATTGGGTTCTTTGTATAGACACTGTCTTATTGGGTTCTTTGTGTAGACACTTTCTTATTGGGTTCTTTGTATAGACAGTTTCTTATTGAGTTCTTTGTATAGACACTGTCTTATAGGGTTCTTTATATAGACACTTTCTTATTGGTTTCTTTGTATAGACAGTTTCTTAAGACACTTTCTTATTGGGTTCATTGTATGGACACTGTCTTATTGGGTTCTTTGCATAGACACTGTCTTATTGGGTTCTCTGTGTAGACACTTTCTTATTGGGTTCTTGGTATAGACAGTTTCTTATTGGGTTCATTGTATAGACACTTTCTTATTGGGGTCTTTGTATAGACACTGTCTTATTTGGTTCTTTATATAGACACTGTCTTATTTGGTTCTTTGTATAGACAGTTTCTTAAGACACTTTCTTATTGGGTTCATTGTATAGACACTTTCTTATTGGGGTCTTTGTATAGACACTGTCTTATTTGGTTCTTTATATAGACACTGTCTTATTGGGGTCTTTGTATAGACACTGTCTTATAGGGTTCTTTATATAGACACTTTCTTATTGTGGTCTTTGTAAAGACACTTTCTTATTGGGTTCTTTGTATAGACTCTTTCTTATTGGGTTCTTTGTATAGACAGTTTATTATTGGGTTCTTTGTAAAGACACTGTCTTATTGGGTTCTTTGTATAGACACTTATTTATTGGGTTCTTTGTATAGACACTGTCTTATTTGGTTCTTTATATAGACACTGTCTTATTGGGGTCTTTGTATAGACACTGTCTTATAGGGTTCTTTATATAGACACTTTCTTATTGGTTTCTTTGTATAGACACTTTCTTATTGGGGTCTTTGTATAGACACTTTCTTATTGGGGTCTTTGTATAGACACTGTCTTATAGGGTTCTTTATATAGACACTTTCTTATTGTGGTCTTTGTAAAGACACTTTCTTATTGGGTTCTTGGTATAGACAGTTTCTTATTGGGTTCATTGTATAGACACTTTCTTATTGGGGTCTTTGTATAGACACTGTCTTATTGGGGTCTTTGTATAGACACTGTCTTATTGGTTTCTTTGTATAGACAGTTTATTATTGGGTTCTTTGTAAAGACACTTATTTATTGTGTTCTTTGTATAGACAGTTTCTTAAGACACTTTCTTATTGGGTTCATTGTATAGACACTTTCTTATTGGGTTCTTGGTATAGACAGTTTCTTATTGGGTTCATTGTATAGACACTGTCTTATTGGGGTCTTTGTATAGACACTGTCTTATTTGGTTCTTTGTATAGACAGTTTCTTATTGAGTTCTTTGTATAGACACTGTCTTATTGGGGTCTTTGTATAGACACTGTCTTATTGGGGTCTTTGTATAGACACTGTCTTATTTGGTTCTTTATATAGACACTGTCTTATTTGGTTCTTTATATAGACACTGTCTTATTTGGTTCTTTATATAGACACTGTCTGATTGGGGTCGTTGTATAGACACTGTCTTATTGGGGTCTTTGTATAGACACTGTCTTATTGGGGTCTTTGTATAGACACTTTCTTATTGGGCTC